AAATATTAGCAAGTCAAAATCAACAATAAATTAAAAGAATCATGATCAAGTGAAATGTATTCCTGGATGCAAGATTGGATCAACATACACAAATCAATAAACATGATGCATCACATCAATAAAAGGACAAAAATCATGATCATTTCAATATTTGCAGAAAGAGCATTTAACAAGATTCAACATCCTTTTATGAAAATAACCCTCAATAAAATGGGTATGGAGGAATATACCTCAACATAATAAAAGTCATATATAACAAACCTATAGCCAACATCATACTCAATGTTGGAAAACATTTAAGATCAGGAATAAGACAAGGATGTCCAGTCTCACCATTACTTTTTGGTATATTATTGAAAATACTAGCAAGAGCGCTTAGTAAGACAGGAATACAAAAGGTATTCAAGCTATAAAGGAAGAAATGAAACTATCACTATATGTAAATAATATACAGAAAATCCCAAAGACTCAGTAAAAAGCTATCAGAAATGTTAAGTAAAATGACGGGCTACAAAATTAAATTTTAAAAAATCAATTGCATTTGTATACACAAATAATTAACTTGTAGAAAAAGAAATCAGTAAAATGATCCCATTTCCATCAAAAAGAAATACATACCTTGGAATAATTTAGCAAAAGATGTGAAAACCTGTACACCAAAAACTATGAAATTGTTTAAAGAAATAGAAGACACACAGAAAGGAGAGGTATTCCATGCTCTTTGGGTAGAAACACTATCGTTAAAATGTCCACCTTACCTAAAGCAACATAGAGATCCAATGAAATCGCTCTCAAAATCTCAAGGACGGTCTTCACATATATAGAACAAAATTTCTGAGATTTGAATTACAAAAGATTTATTTATATGAATTGCCTTTGGCGAATCACTCATGAGAAATAAAGATCAAAAGCAGAAGTACCATCCTCCTGGACTTTAAATTACAAAGAGATAGTAATTAAAACAGTTGGTATTGCAATAAACACACACACACACACACACACACACACAGTTCAATGGAATAGAATTGAGAGGGCAGAAATAAAACAAAACACACAGACAACTATCTTATCATAAAGAAATCAGGAGCTTACCATGAAGCAAGGAAAATTTAGCCTTGCATTCAGCCACATGCAAAAAAAAAAAAGAAAGAAAGAAATAGACTACTCTCTCACTCCACACACAAAAATTAACTCAAAATGGATAAAAGACTTGATGCCATAAAACATTGATACATAGAATAAAACATAGGCAAAATCCCCCACAGCATTGGCTTCAGAGATGTATTTGGAGACTTGATTCCAATGGCAAGGACAATAAAAGCAAAAATAAACAAATGGGACTACATCAAACTAAAAAGCTTCCGCACAGTAAAAGAAACTTACATCAGATTGAAAGGACATCCTACTTGTTGGGGCTCCTAGGATTAAAAGCTCAGTCTCTCCCTAGCTTAGTAGACAAGGATGAGAAGTTTTTAGGCAACTTGGGGAATGGAAACATTATCATGGGAACCAGGCTAGGAGATCTTGAGCAGATAAGCGAACCAAAAGATTGTTATTAAAACGGAGCCATAAAGCCCACCTGTGAGCATTAAAGGCCACTGTAAATTTTAAAGAAATGCAGAAATGAAATAAGGCCTTCTACTTGAGTAGACAGCAGCTAGCCCAGCCCTCTATCTTTAATCATAGAGATAGTTTATAGTTGCAGAGTATAAGAGTCATTTTTCTTTCAGGGTCCAGTCAAAGACTTTCTCCTCTCGCCCCTGCCTCGCTTCAGTAATTCAATAAATCTGCCTTTTCTACTTTCCATAATGGTGAATTCTTTCATTCCCATGGCCCAGCATCCCTTCACAGCCATTGATCTCCTCACATGGCAGTGTGAACAGCATTACTGAACGGGAGAAGATATTTGCACATTTCAAGAAAGAGTTAATATCCAAATTATACAGGTAACTTACAAAACTCAACAATCTATAAACAAACATGATTTAAAAATGGGCAGAGGATCTGAATGGACACTTCTCCAAAGAAGATAAACAGTTGGTCAATATGAAACAGGGCTATAGAGGGGCTACAGCAGATCAAAGACAGTCCTGGTGGAGGACAGGTACACCGTCTGTTTGTTCTTCACCTGCGCACAACTGCAAGACTACACAGGCTTAGGGAACAATAGTGGTATTTAGTTAACAAATAGGGAAAACAAATTTTCTAAGGACACTGGTGGCTGGCTATCTCACCCCAGATGGTGTCCACAGTGTCTGGAAGGCCTAAACAAAAGGCTGCGCATCCAAGATGGCGCTTCCTGAAAATATGAGCCTGGTGATCATGGCATCTGATCAGGGTCCAACTTACCACAGCTGGAAATCCTCACAGGCGGGGCCACTGAGATGACACCACAACAGCCCATGGCAAGGTCAGGATGGACAGCATTGGAAGCTGGACCAGATAGCATCGGAGGCAGCAACACTGGGAGGCGGTGCTGGATGATTAACAGCTCTCAGAGGTGACCCAGACATAGAGCACCAGTCTCCCGTCAGCAATGTTGGTCATCTGGTCACTAGGAGGCGACAGCCCACACCAACAATAAACAGCTCTTTAAGACACCAGGCCTGGGGCCTTTGGTGCTCTTTTCAGGCAGTGTCAGAGGCAGACTGGATGGAAGCAGGTGCAGCCCCTGACCTCTGCAGAGGGCTTTGGACGTCGGCTTTCTTTGGAAGTCAGCTTTCTTTGGAAGTCAGCTGTTGGATGCTTCTTTCTTTTAAGGCCAGTAACAGGGACAGTCCTTCTCAAGCACAGAGTTGTCAGAGTCTTAAAGAGTTGAGAGAGCCAACCTCCTGCCAAGCTTTATATCCTCTTTCAGAGCGCCCCTCCCCAAACTACATTTCCGATTGGACCATTTTCAATCCTATGGCTGATTGGACCATTTACCAATCAGCTCATAGCACGAATCTGATTGGTCCATTCTCTGATTCAGGCACCAAATCCATGGGCTTTTCTACTGTTTGCAGATGGAGGGAGCCTCAGCATTGGAGCTGGCCCAGTGGAGCTCCATACTTCTCCGTGCAGCCCTTGAAGCGGGGGCTGCATGCCCTAGAATGCTGTGGTAGGGGAACCACAGCTGCCCACTATCACTGCTGACCTCTGCCTACAGTCTGACCCCGAGGGGGCCACTAGTGGCGGGCAGTAAAATGCCCTCCACCTGCTGTCACTCACACTGCCTACAAGCAGTTTCTGGAGCTGGACAGTTTCAAATAGGTACACAAAATGAGAAATGTAATCAAAACCTGTGAGAATGGCTGTTATCTGAAAGACAGAAAACAAGTGTTGGAGAGGACTTGGAGAGAAGAGAACTATTGTTCACTATTGATGGGAATGTAAATTGGTCCAGGCATTATGGAAAGCAGTATGGAGAGTTTTCAAAAATTAAAAGCAGAAATTCCATACAATCCAGTTATTCCATTTCTGTGTATTTACCTGAAAAATACAAAATCACTAATCCAAAGAGATTTATGCACCCCATGTTTATTACAGTATTATTCACTATAGCCACGAGCTGGAACCAACTTAAGAACACCACCTACTTACTAGTGGGTAAAGAAGATGTAGTTTATATACATAATGGAATACTATATAGTTATTAAAAAGAAATCCTAGCACTTGCAGTAACAATTAGAGGGTATTATGCTAAGTGAAGTAAGCCAGAAAGACAAACTGTATGTGATTTCAATTACATGTGATATGCAGAGAAAACAATCAGATCAACTAAAGAAAGCAAAAGTAAACTTTGGACTATGAGACCAATTCATGGTTACCTAAGGGAAAGGATAAAGGAGTGGGTAAACGGAGACAAAATGGACAGTCCTATGGGTGAAGCATAAAATAGGCTGTTTAGTGGTGAATTTAATACAGTATTTACACATGTTGATGCTCAATGATGAACACCTCATGCTTATATAAAATTGTGATGCAATGTTTTATTTAACCATATGCCTCTATTCAGACTCACCTAGATAGTCTTTGTAATAGGCATCCTTATACCTGATTATTTAGTAAATACACGCGCATCGTGACAAACTTTTGCAATTAAGGTCCTAGAAGTGAGATTATTATTTTTTTAAATAAATTTTATTTTTATATTCCCCATACAATTGCAACCCCCTTATTTTGGCCCCAATCCCTCCCCTCCCCACCCCCTACCCCCCATAGAGTGTCTCTGGTTCATAGTTTTTTGTTGATTTTGATTTTCACTTTCTTATAGTTACTCATTTTCCTGGTCCCTTATTTAAGTTTTCTAGATTCCTGCTATGAGTGAGACCATCCGACATTTTTCTTTTTCTTTCTGGCTTATTTCGCTGAGCATGATCCCTTCCAGCGCCATCCATGTTGCTGCAAATTGCACGTGTTTATCTTTTTTGAATGCTGAGTAATATTCCATGGTGTATATGCACCACATCTCTAGAAGTGAGATTATTGAATGCATTTGAAATCTAGATAAAAGTGGTGCGAGATCAACGAACATGTAGAAAACAGATGCCACCCACAGTATTACAATGTTCAACACACGATCTAGACGGTCAGCTCTTAGACCGTCTGCTCCGACCACCCGCGCGGGGCCCTGGGCAGCAGGTGGACCGTCCACCGCCGGGCACGGGGCGGGGCCGGCCGGGCGCCCTCGAGTCACGTGGACGGCCGCGGCCGTCCCGGGAGGCTCGGAGCGGCCTCCAGAGCCTCGCCTCGCGCAGTCGCATCGCGCTCGGGCCGCGGCGGGCGGGTTTCGAGGAGGCGGAGCGAGGGACGGGCGGACGGTAAGTGCAGTTCTCGCGCGCCGGCTCGGGCTGGCGAGGGCCGCGCTTCCGCCGGGGCCGGGGCCGCGCGCTGCGGCTTCCGGCGGCGGCTGCGCTGGCGAGGGCGGCTGCCCGGGTGGCCTTTGCTCCCGGCGGCTCGCGCGCTGCGGGCGTCCCGACCCGCTGTTAACGGTTAACCCGCCGGCGGTGGCGCCCCGGCACGGAGAGGCCCTACGAGGCGTGTGCACCTTAGAGAACGGGCCGCACCCGGAATCTGCAGCCTCCGTGGGGCCAGCGGGGCGTTTACTGCAAACTTTCCTGGCATCTGTGGGCTCGGAAGCATAAAAACTGTGCCAGGGTTTCTGCAGCCCTGCGCACCTAGGTGCTCGCCTCAAGCTGGCTAGCAGGACAGTCCAGCACTTCTAAGCAGCCAGTCGCAGAAGGCCACTGTGTTCCTCTGCGCTGATGGGTCTCATTGCAGAAAAACAGACAATTATAAACCAGAGACATCCTGCAGGGGAGGAGGAGGGAGAGGGATCAGAGGGAGCGAGGGAGGAGCTCAGGGGACTGAGGTGATGGTGCACAGGTGCCTTGGGGAAGGAAACTCTATGGGGACTGCACCTGAGGGAGGGGTGGGGGGGAAGCAAATATTGTTTAAAAATGAACAATGATGTAAAAATATATATATAAATAAAAAGAAAATTAAAAAATAAGACCAAACCAAAAAAGCAATAAAATAAAATGTTAAAGATAGCCAGAACTCTGCACTGATCAACCCTAAACTGTAGGGGCCTTTGAGATGACAGCTAATTTTGAGCACGTCCCATGGCGGGGGTCCTGCTTAAACCGGATGTATAGTGAAGCATTTATTTCTATGTGGCATGTCTTAACGACGCAGCAATTGCAGCCCAGCAAAATTTAGCTATTTGCCCTCAGTCATCCACTTGGGATTCAAATCCAGATGGGCCAGTGTGGTGATGACAGGTTTCTTAATATCACACACTTTGATGGCAGATTCCAGAGGGCTAAGGAATTTTATTAAATTATTAGGGAAATATTCCGTTTTAAACATTTATTGCCACCAGTATTGGACATTAGTGTTACTAAATTTTAAAAAATCATCATCTTTGGTGTTGCTTTTATGTATTTAATTTTTTGCTTTGCTAGGGTTTTGTGCCTTCAAGGTAGTTTATTGGCAGGCCATGTGTTTTTATAAATCCGTGGATGCTGCTTATGCGAAATGTTAGGATTTATGTATCAGTCGTCACCAAATTTAGTCTCATACGATCTGGGTTTGAATCTTCACTGCTACATTGTGAGTAACAAGCTTTTCTTTAAAAAAAGATCCTTTATAAAGGGCCTCCCCGGTGGTGCAGCAGTTGAGTACTGGGTTGTAAAGTGCCCGCAGCCTCTGCAGCACCGGTTCGATCCCCGGCTGCGCCACGGCCACCAGAGGAGGGTCCCACATGGCCCGCAGACCTCTCCTGCCGCCCACTGCTCCCCTCAGCAGTGTACTTCGGTCCTTCTGCCTGCTCTGCTCCCCGCTCTGGCTCTGGTGAATTCTCTCACCCTCCCGCGCTTCTGACTGTACCCAGTGCTTGTATAAATATATAAAGATAAATTTTTAAAAAATCCTTTAACCATTTCAACATATGGGAAATAGGTAATACACATTTGGCAGTTTTGTGAGGATTTATGAAGCAATATATGCTTAGTATCCAAGAGGTATGTATTCACTGAAGAATAGCTGGTTTTATGCTCTCTGATGACATAGGAAAACTGCTATGTGAGGCATTTCTCTTCCCTAATCCTAAAAGCAAAGGTCACCCTGGAGCTGTGCATTCTAATAATGTGTTGGCCAAGTCCCCAGACTTAGTAAAAAGTACCACAGTCAGTGTTCAAGAGGAGAACAACTAAGTTTCTTTAATTTCAGGCTCCTTTGGTCTGTGGTGTCTTAATGGAAATTCAAATGACTTGTATTTTTATTATATAAATTAAAAAATTCCACTAGAATGTATTCATTATGGTGGAAAAGTATATAGTAGAGACTGAGGATTTGTAATTTTATATGAAGTTATCACCATTAGGAACCTAATTTTAGGCACCAGTCAAAAAAATATTTCTTGAAGTATTGGGCTGTAGAACAAAAACAGATAAGTTTTCCAGAAGGAAGTTTTTTACATCTGGCCTCCAACTGAGTAAATGGTTTTATTTTTCACTTTCTTTTTATTCACTTAAGATTATCCTATCTTAAAGCAGACTCAAAATAGAGGAAATGTGTGGGAGCATATGACAAAGTAACAGTAATGAAGGTGTACACATGGACTCTTTATTGTCTGACTGGCCGATGATATTCACAATATTTAATTAAGAACAATATGGGTGTTAATTATAAATAGTCACCAGATATCATAAATAAAGAGCACCACTTATGATGCAGAGAGGGAACAATTATTTGAAGAATGAGATAATATTCTAAGCAAAATACAAGTCTGTAATCATAGTTCTATGAAACCTTTATCATTTAACCCCAGCCTTCTCTGCTCATTTCTTATCAGCCCCTGCAAAATTCACTACAGTTTTCCTTAGGAGTAAACATGGCAAATATTCTGAAATTTGAGAGAAGGAAGACTAATTAACGTTTGATGCTACTCCACATCTCATGTATTTTGTTACTTGCATGATACCAGTATTTCTTTTCTAGTTCTGGCTTGAATAAAGAAAAGTAAAAAAAAAGTATTCATTTATTTTCCCCCCGCCTCGTTAGGGCAAATTTTGAAATAAGCTGTACAGTATTCTCAGTTTGTTCACTGTCTATGCACAGCCACATTCTAGAGGATTAAAAAGTGCTTTTAAAATCTTTCTCTTCGATTTTGCATCATTTGCTACATAAAAATATAAAGTAGGTTACAACTTAAATATTGAAGAGAGTAATTTTAAATATAAGACTGAATGTGATTTTTGGAGACATGTAACAAATTTTGTGTGTACTAAATCCCCTTGCTTTTGTTTATAAAGTTACCTTATATACACATATCCATAAATTATAATATTGTTTGGTTTTTCTGTGTTGCGCTAATAAAGTATGCTGTGAATTCTTTTTTTTTTTTCTTTTGCCATTTTAAGGTACTTTTTTGAAAGTAATCCAAACTGGATATGGCCATGCATTTTTTTGGTAGCAATACATTTTTTCAGTGTACAGCATTCCACTGAATGAACGTAAAAACAATCCGTTCTAATATTGGTAGATTTTCAGTTGTTACTTGTATTTTGCTCTTAAAGCCATTTTTATACATGTCTTATGATGTACCTATCATGTTTCTCTGAAATATACTGAGTGTTTACTAGATAGTACTAGACTACCAGTTGCTCCATGTCCTCGCCAATACTTGGTATCATTTTTTTTTCCAGTGTGATGAAAATAGTACCCATTTGTGACTTTGTTTTACATTCCTTTTTCACACGTAGAGGTTTGAACATCGATACTATGATTATTGCCATTCAAATCTCACCTGTGAAATTTTTGTCTCTTGCCCATAATTTGTGGTTATTTGGCATTTTCATACTGATTTATAGTCAGTCTTCATCAATTCTGAATCTTAAGCTCTGGCTGGTTATATGTACATTTCTTTCCTTCCCCAGCACATTATTTCCCCCTCTTTATGTTACTTGTGTTCTCATTTTCCTTATCACTGCTGTGCCTCTGTGTGTTCTGTCACAAAATGTGATACAGGTTGCATGTCCCACTCTATGGAGGTAAATACTATGACTTGATCAATTTGTGCTCTTTGGGTACCTGCCCAAATCAACTAAAACCAGATAACTGTTTAGAAATGTAGTATTCCAGTCTCCTGTCATCCATGGCTAACCCAGAAAATCATGGCCATAGTCCTCTTTACCTTTTCTTAGAAACATTGTATTTTTATTGTGAAATAAATTTTAAAAACAGCTTATGTGTTAGTTATTTCCATCCTTTAAAAAAAGCATAGTAGATCAATTAGCTTAAGGGTTACCAATGCAAACTTCAGGGAACAAATAAGACATCTGTTATTTCCTAAACTTAATTTGTGTAGTGTTTTCCTTTATATGTTAATTCAAAGCTCCTGTCTCCCCCCATCAGCATACATACACAAACATCTCAGTTTGGGAGAGCAGGCTTACATGATACCTTATGTCTGTCTTCCTCATGGCTTAGCACTGCCCCTCTCACAACATTGGTCTGTAAATTCCTATTTTCTAGAGCTCACTGAGATACTAAAACAGAGATTTTAACTTTGGAATAATAGTTTTTATGTTTTATTAAATAAGCCATGCTGCTTTATTCCTGGTGTTTGCAAACTTTCAGCAGTCATATAGGATGAAATAAATAATTGAAAAAGCCATAGGGAAAATTCTCTGCAGAATGCTGAAACCTGTTGCCATGGCCATTAACACCTTTTTCCTCTTGTTGGGAAAGTATCTGTGTATAATTTGTAACCATTCTAAGCTCAGTATAGTAAATTCCAAGTGCCCCCTTTTAAATAGGCTGAATGTGTATTTGTATTTGTATGTAAAATGTTAACTTCAGATTTAAGTGAAATTTAAATGGGAGGTTTCTATTATCAAGGAAAGGCCCATCATCATTCTGTATAACTTCCTCTGATATATGACAATATTGCTGTACTTGAAGAAGATGTGGATGATAAAGAATTATCTTTCTAAAATTAGAATATTCATTTGAAGTTGACACGTGATTTACAGTCTTGTCAGATGTCTTAAGTTGTAGACAGCTGTATGTGTGCCTAATATGGGGAGCATTCAATGGCACGCCTCCTCCTGTTTAAGAGCTGCTGGGTCTCTGCAACTAACGTGGACAATCATATTGGTTCACTTCCTTTTCTTTTTCCACATGTGATTCTTTATCTTGATTAGGGCAGAAAGAGCACTTCTTAAGTTGTCTGCACCACATAAACATCCATAAAATAATAAAGTTCTTAAAACTGAAAATGAAAATGTTGGGTAAACCTAGCATTGCAACAACCTATGGAATTTTTTATGTTCTGTTTTGGAACATAGGAGATGTTAAGTTGAAGAGTCATGTTGGGCTGGAAATGCATACATATGCCATGTGAAAGGCTGCTTAAGTGTTTAACTGTGGGTTTTGAAGAATTAATCCCAGTAATATGTATGAATCATTTTGATTCAAGGACTTGATCCTTGAGCCAGTCCCAGCAAACTTCCTATTGAGAAATTTCTTAGTTTTTTGTTTTTCCTACCTTTTGCTTTTAAAAAAGCAAAAAAGTGGTGTTTTTAAAACTACTTGGTGAAAAGAATATTTAAGAGTGGTATGGGAGATGATCTTTAGAATTACGGAGGTGGGGGAGGAGTTGTAATCATTGTATTTTGAATGTGAGCTCTTACTTGGATGCTAACCAGTATTTGATTTCAAGGAGAGTGGAGGTTTAGGAGTAAGTGAAATTAGAAGGAAGAGTATAGAGTAGGTTCAGCTCTTTATGGACACAGTTTCCAAGGAAACCTCTTTTCATCATATGTCATTCATTGTTTAATACAGAGGTAGCCTGCATTAGAGTAAATTTTATTATTTATATATATTTATTCATTACATTATCCTTCATTTTTGTACAATGCATGATTTCCTGTGAAATTCCCACCACCAGTTCACCCACGCACCATCACCATAGACCCTTGTGCTTCCTCCACTCCTACAGAATGTCTCTGGTCTATGGTTGCCTGTTGATTTTGATTTTTACTTTATTATAGTTATTCTTTTTTCTGATCCCTTATTTGCTTCCTCTACATTCCTCCTATAAGTGAAACCATCTGATATTTTTCTTTTTTTTTAAGATTTATTTATTTATTTTACAAGCACTGGGTACAGTCAGAAGCGCGGGAGGGTGAGAGAATTCACCAGAGCCAGAGCGGGGAGCAGAGCAGGCAGAAGGACTGAAGTACACTGCTGAGGGGAGCAGCGGGCGGCAGGAGAGGTCTGCGCGCCATGCGGGACCCTCCTCCCGTGGCCGGGGAGCAGCCGGGGATGGAACCGGCGCTGCAGAGGCTGCGGGCATCTTCGCAACCCAGCGCTCAACCGCTGCACCACCGGGGAGGCCCTGATATTTTTCTTTTTCTTTCTGGCTTATTTTGCAAAGCATAATCATTAGAGTAAATTTTAACTCGTCTGCCTTTTGTGCTGGGTTACCATCTATTTGCCATTCAAGGAGAATATAAGCTAGGCAAGGAGCATTTAATGAATTTCATTTGATTGGCAATAGATTGGACCTCTGTTGGCCTGGCCTTACTTCAGCCTCTCTTTCACCTGGCCTTTACATGTTGGTGCGCTTCAGGAATTGTACTAGTTAGTCCCTCTCCCCTGTCTGTGCTGCCTCTCCAACTGATTCTGTTGGATTTCTTTACTTGAAAACTCCCCAGTTTCTCTTCTCAAATTATTCTCAACTCATCTCATAAATCCACTGTTGACTTAATATCTTCCCTTGGATGTCTGGTAGGTATCTCAAACTCAATATGGATGAAATCTAGTTTTTAACTTTCCATCCCTGCAAAATACCAACTTTTTCTTAGTTTTTAACATCAGACCCATAATCCATCAGGTTGCACAAACCTAAAGCTTTACAACTATTCTTTTTTTTTTCCCTCTGTGACTCCTTTATTCCAGTTAATCAGTCTAACCTCTGTGCCTCACTCAATTTTCTCCCTGTAAAATTTTAATACCTTTTTTATAGTAGTATGTTGGGGGATTAAAAGAACTAAATAAATATAAAGTTTTAAAATAGTGCCTGACATGTGGTTAGCACAATATATCTGTAACAACAGTTATTATTGCTATTTTTTTCTCCCCCAGAGTGTTACCACTGTCTTCTCTCCCATGGACCACTACAATAACTTTCTCATTTCTGTGCTTCTGCTCTTATTGTGCCACAGTCTATTTTCCACACAGCCTGGGCATTCTTTTAAAAACAGCCTGCATCATACTTGCCAGCCTTGCACCCTTCAGTGCCTTCCTATTGCTCTTAGAATAGACTCCACACACAGGGGTGCATGACCTGTCTGTCCTACCAGTCTCATTATGGGCTAGTCTCTCTTTCATTCCTCTTTAACCAAGCCTTGTTTTCTTCTTTCCTTCAGGCTTTAGTATTTATTATTTGTTTCACCCGGAGTTTTCTCCTTCCAGCTCTGAGCATGACTCGTTCATTTGCATTTTTCAAGTTTCAGTTCAACTATCATCTCAGAGTCCCAGTCCCAGGCTTTCCTTTGAAAAATGGCTTCCCCCTTTTGCTCTCATACTACCCATTTTGTTTTTTTCATGATACTACTAATTACATTATTTTCATTTTTATTATTACTGATCTCACCAACTAGAATATAATTTACAAGCAGGCAGAGACCTTTTTTAATTTATGCCCTGAAGTAACAGTCACATAGTGTTCAGAAAATATTTATCAAATGAGTGATCATCTCTAATGAGTACAGAGAACTTTGTAGAAGGAGAATCTGAACATCCATTGTTGAACATTTTCTTTTATAATTCTGTGCTCAAAGATTGTCAGTAGTCACTTTTTGAGAAATTTGCCTCCCTGCTTTTTCACGCCTATATTCCTCACTAAATAAATTGTGAAGAAACTTGTCCATCTCTGTCCCAAAAATAAAAGTTGTGGTTAAATGTTATCATGGGGCCTCCCTGGTGGCACAGTGGGTTGAGCATAGCACTGTGAAGCTGTCCGCAGCCTCTGCAGAGGGTTTGATTCCTGGCCGGCCAGGGAGAAACCCACATGGCACAGCAGACCTCTCCTGTCTTTCCTGCTGCTCCCCTCAGCAGTGTATTTCAGCCTGCCTGCCTGTTCTGCTCTCTGTTCTTTGGCGAATCCTCTCACCCTCCCACACCTCTGGCCTGTACCCCAGTTCTTATATAAAAATAAATAAATCTTTAAAAAAATAAAATGAAGATTAAATAGAACAATTGCTCAGAAGTGTAACTTGTCCTTTAAAAAAAAAATGAACCTTTAATTTCTATCATACATAAGGGATTTTAGTAACCCTGCTCTGAAACAATGTCCATGGACCTGTAGGATCTCATACCTGAATGTTATAGGAAGCCTCTCTTTTGTCTTCCCACATCGTAGAGTGAGACTATCTTGTGTCAGTTGCAATACCCAGTCAATTCCTAGAGGGTATTGTCCTGGTGAATGAAGATTCCCATTCTCTAGAAGGGATATCTCATAATGGGATTATTAGGAAATAAGAGGGGAAATTAAAACCCTTGAGTGGTCTCAGTTTCTGTCTTGTGATTTTTATTTCATTGCATGCAAAGATTCAAAATATCACTTGCCTCCAGGAGAAAGCTCTTTGTCAACTCTAAGAAGATTATACACGGTTCTTAACACTTTTTGAAAGTTATAGTCAAAATGACCAGTCTCTGTGTTGAGATAGGGAAAGAATGTTTCTAGAAACTTTCTGAATGGCAACTCTAATGGAAATAGGGTGGGAATAGTATGATAGATTTGGGGTTAGGAGTGAAGAAAGGATACATTTCTGGCAAAACAAGATATATCTTTTTAAAATTGAGGAACCATCATAGAATACCCCCATAAGAGAGGCTTTTAGGAAACTCCTCCACATGAGATGCAAAATCCTGACACTGATATATCTTGATGTTTCTTTATCTCATGGAATTATCAGACTATGGCCATGCTCTTGAATCATACAGGTCTCTGAGTTGTATCTGTGAAAATGACAGGTGTCTGTTCACACCAGTCGCTTCCTGCTAGAATATCTGTCTGATCCCTACCTCCATCCCCTCCACTGCAGGCAAAACCAAGCTGAAAGCTTAAGACAACACTGCTAATCAAATGCTGTTTATCATTGGATTTAATAGGGCATAAAAGAGTAGTGAAAGAGTAGTCTCTGTGTCTTTGGAGGTCTAAACTTTGTATCTTGTGCTTGAACTGAGTCTCCTGTGAATCTAGCCTCAGATTGGGGAGTCTTTATATTTTGGCAACTTTAGGAGTCTCTAACTCAAAATTATGCCTATGAGCCAGCATTTATGTTATATGGTTACAAGAAAATACCCCTATCACTCTCAGAGAAATCAGATTTACAACAGTCTCAGCATCCAGTCTAGTGAAGTCTACTTGCAATTATATTTCTTTTCTTTTTCCTTTTTCTCAACTAGCATGGATCTTAGTGGCTCTCCTCAAGATCCTGAAATAAAGGAATATTCTCCAGTCTGTGTTGGCAGAGAAGATGACATTAAAAAAATGGAAAGAATGACAGCTGTTGTCCATGACAGAGAAGTGGTTATTTTCTACCACAGAGGGGAATATCATGCTATGGATATTCGCTGTTACCGTAAGATTGTATTCTTTTTATTGATGTATAATGTAAGAGTCCATTTTTCATTTGTAAACCTGTTTGTTTCCTAGGCACAAACCTATCAGAATTTCTATTTTTTTAGTGACTGGATATAATATTCAATTCCCTTTCAGATTCAGGAGGACCTTTACATTTGGGAGAAATAGAGGTATGTAAAATTCAATCTATTCTCAACAAACTCAAATATTCCCTTTTTTTTTTTTTGTAGTTCCTGTCTTTTTTTTTTTTAAGATTTATTTATTTATTTATTTATTTATTTATTTATTTATTTATTTATTTATGCAAGCACTGGGTACAGTCAGAAGCGCGGGAGGGTAAGAGAATTCACCAGAGCCAGAGCAGGGAGCAGAGCAGGCAGAAGGACCGAAGTACACTGCTGAGGGAAGCAGCGGGCTGCAGGAGAGGTCTGCGCACCATGGGGGACCCTCCTCTGGTGGCTGGGGAGCAGCCGGGGATTGAACCAGCGCTGCAGAGGCTGCGGGCAGCTTCACAACCCAGCGCTCAACCACTGCGCCACCGGGGAGGCCCTGTAGTTCCTATTTTATTCCATTTTATATGAAAGTGTTTGGGTCCGACCAATATTTTTATGCCCTGGGTAGAATTTCTAATATGCTAGGAATTCACAACCCTATAATCTAAAGAAAACTATTTCACCAGTATCAGGAATATACATTTTTCTAATCTAGCAATTATACTCAGATATCTACTCCACAGATATAATTGAACAAATTCATTTATATGTGTGTATGTATTTGTGTGTGTGTATGTGTATGTATGTGTGTGTGTGTATGTGTATATATATACATACATATATGTGTGTATATATATATATACATACACACACACACACATATATATATATAATGGCAGGTGGGGAGCAGAAGGGGAAAGAGACCCTTGGGTTATAGTGGAGGATTCTGGGGGCTTTGGTGGTGGGTATGATATGGTTAACTTACATTTGAAAAGGTGTGAACCTATACCCCTAAATCATATACAGTGTCACAAACCAGTGTTACCTCAATAAAAAAAGGTTACCAAAAAATGTTTACAAGGAAATGAAAAGTTATAGTTTAAAAAGCTGGAACAACAAAGAGGACTTGCTTCCTGGCTGTGGCAGGTTGTGGTCATCACATAGTCTCTACCCTGCTGTGGCTGAACCTCCTTTGAGTTGGCCTGAACTGCAGAGAATTGCTTCAAGTGCTCACAGTGATAGTTCAATTATAAATCCTTCTCTTGTCTCTCTAAATCATTTATTAGCTTCTTCCTCTTCCTTGACTTACCCACTCTATAACTGGTATTTCCTGGGATTACCTCCTAAATAAACTACTTGTACTTGGGGGAAAAATTGTGTGTGAGAGAGAGAGAGAGAGAGAGAAGAGAGAGAGATGGAGAGAGAGAGAACATGAGAGAGTTATTGAAGCATTATTGTAATGAAAATTGAAGTCAACTCGAATGGTTTTTAGAAATCAATCTTAATTTTTATTCAGAGATACCCTTCACATATGCTACCTAAATGTTGCAGTAAGAAAGTTAAATAAATTAATTAACCATGCAATGGAATACAAGACAGCCATTAAATTAATGAGGCAGATCTGTATTTGTTGGTATGGAGAGATGTCAACAATATATTTTGAGTGCTAAAAAGAAAGTTATAGAATAATAGGTCTAATGAAATTAATTAAAAATACCAATTCACTTTCATTTTCAAACATTTATGTACAGTATGAATTTTTTTACAAGCACATATATATTACATTTACAATGTAATAAACATATATATATTTAAGAAAGAAAAAGCACACATTGAAGGTAAACTGAGAAAGGAAAGGAGAATTATCTTAATTTCTTATATTCCCAAACTAGCTCCCTGATTTATTCCTTATTTCATGAAACTGGTAATTTTCCCCTTCTCCCCACTCTCGTACAAAGTAAAGCTTGAACTTAGTATTTCATTCTCTTTATACTTGATCTCTGTCTGAGTCCATCCCTGTCCTAATGTTTAGGGACATACTTATGAACTGTGGAAATGGAAATGTTTGCTAGCTGTACTGTATCAGTATGCCTGTATAGAAAAATGCAAGCATTTGATATGTGGTGGAAGAATTTTCCTCAGTTCCAGACCATAATGAGAGCTGTAAGATCTTGCTTCTCAAAGTTTGGTCCAAAGTCCAGCAACATGGGTATTACCTGGAGTTTCTTGGAAATGCAGAATCCTGGGCCCTTTCTGTAGACCTACAGAATTTAAACAAGATCTGCATTTAAACAAGACCTAGGTGATTCTAGTGTTCTCTAAACATGTTTTTGAGAAGTTCTGTTTTAAGACAGTTAAAAAGTTGGGAATTAACTACTTTGGATCATAAAGGGCTCTTCAGTTAGCATCCATAATCATATGAGCCTTTAGTAACCTCTCAATGTATATCTGAAACTTACCATTCTTTCAGTAGCCAGTGAACAGTCCTTTAGCTGCACTTGAAGGCCTTGCCCCTTTTCTGTCAAGGAAGTGACATTAACATCTACTAAAAAGCAGTGACATTAACATCTATAAAGAGCAGCACAGAGGCAGTCACATGCTCTAGTTGCCAGAGCTAGTTATCTTCTGATAGAGCTCTAACAGACTGGGTTTCTAATACACTGCAAAACGACTTGATGACTGCTCAGATAAGGTTGGGAGGGAGAAAAGGAAGCTAACCTGTTCTTTAACCTGGTTCTTCTATAAGGGATTCTGTTTTGAGCCCAAGGTTTATCATGATGTGAGACTATTAAATAAATTATTTTCTTCCCCAGGATTTTGATGGACGAGCATGTATAGTTTGCCCCTGGCATAAATATAAAATTACTTTGGCAACAGGAGAAGGACTGTATCAGTCAATAAACCCCAAAGATCCATCAGCAAAACCCAAGTGGTGCTCCAAAGGAATAAAGCAAAGGATTCATACGGTGACAGTGGACAAGGGGAATATCTATGTGACTCTTTCTAATGAATCTTTTAAATGTGACTCTGATTTTTATGCCACTGGAGACTTCAAGGTAATTCAGACTTCTTCCTGATAAATTATATGGCAATGACAATTGTATATATTTTAAAAATATTTTTAAAATAATTATGTCTCAATGCTAAGGATGATTCTTTGTCCAACATAGATGTATTTTATTACTTTTAAACTCAGTGAAACCAAGAGATTTAAAGGCACATATACTTAGTATGATGTAAGGATTATCAGGATCTGTTAAATATATTTCATCCTCTAGATTGATTAGAAGGTTATAGATTTAGAATGTGCAGTTTAATAAGGATGAAAGAAAGTAATGTGGAATAATCTAAAATGAAAGGGTAAAAAAGAAAGGTCTCATGAGAAAATATGTTGCCTGGAAAAAGAAATTCCTATTTAATATACAGACCAGACTTTATTATGGAAAAGTGTCAATATATACAAAGTAAATAGAATAGTGTAGTCATCCAACTTCAGTTCTCCACCTTCCTATTATTATTATTATTACATTTTAAGGTAAAATTTAAATATGCTGAAATGCTTTAATCTTGTTTAATTCTTCAAAATATATAGTTTATATTTTAGACTTTAAAAAAAACTCTCCCCAAATGAGATCAGTTTATACACTGAATCTAAAAATAAGAAATCAATGCTCTGGACACCAAAACTTGATTCAATAAACTTGACTCACTTTCTCTCTGGTATAGTCTCCCATTCATTGAGCCAAAGTACATTGAATGCCTATATGAAATTTTCAAATAAAGTGTTTTTAAAATGTTGAGCACCTTGTGCATGTGTGTAAATATTAAATATTACAGATAGAAGGTAAATATTACAGAAAGAAGAGATGTGGGGTCTTGCTCCTCAGTGTCCTTCTGCTGAATTCACAGAAGGATTGATTTTCAGTTGTTCACCCTGCTTTTACCCTGCCAGTTATTTATGACCTGGCCTGTTCTGGTTGCCAAGTGCCCACAGAGTACTAGTTGTTAAATATTTAGAATAACACCCTGGGTGATAAACATTCAAAACGTGACAGCGTATCATAGATTATACAAGTAAATGGGACCAGAAAGAATGAGGATGAGCAGACTATGAATTTGAGAAGAGCTGTTTGTTAAGATTGGAACCTAGTCTCAAACACAGTAATGTTAGTGGCATCTAATTGAATTAAGGCTCCTTAACATTATAACGGGCACGTCTGGACTCTCCCTTATTGTAAAAGTAAGTGAATCAAATATCTATCATTAAGACTCTGCTTACAGATCTCTTTGCTACAGATTATTACATTTCCTTTTCTTTGGAACATGGGTAACATTAGGTAATAAAACAGTTGCTACTCATTTCTCAGACTACTACTAAAGAGCCAAGCTTGAGCTTTTTATATGTTTATGGCACCAGCTACTTACTAGGAAGCACCATCTCTGGGTACATCCCAGCATATTATATCAGGTGCTAATGTTTCAGTGACAAGTCTGGTCTTAGTTCATGTCCAGAATTTAAAATACATGGGAAAGACTGGATCGAGAAGATGTGGTATGTATATATATATATATACACACACACACACACACACAATGGAATATTACTCAGCAATCAAACAAGATAAACTCATGCAATTTGCAACAACATGGATGGAGCTGGAAGGGATCATGCTCAGCAAAATAAGCCAGAAAGGAAAAGAAAAATACCGGATAGTCTCACTCATAGCAGGAATTTAGAAAACCTAAATAAGGGACCAGGAAAAAGACTAATTATAATAAAAAAAATCAAAATCAACAAGCAACTATAAACCAGAGACATACTACGTGGGGGGAGAGGACGGATTAGGGTCAAAATAAGGGGGGTGCAATTGTGTAGGGAATATAACCAAAATGAAAATGCATACATTGTGTAAAAACAAAAAATGATGTAAGAATTATATAAAATAAACACACACACACAAAAAAAAAATAAAATAAAGGGAAATAAAATACATGGAAGAAACCAGAGTACCTTCTGCAGGCAAAGCCATGACCCTAGTTTGCAGGGCCAATCAGAAACATTTTCTCCCAGGATCTGGTGGCAACAATGCGTAAAACATGGACTTGATTTCTGTTTCTAAATTTGTTTCTCTAACTCTAGAAATAAAAAGTGTCATGTCATGTCCAGTCCTTATATACAGAAATCATCTCATCAGATTTATAAATAATATTTTGTCTTAAATTTTCTGAATTCTATGCATTCCAGGTCCTTCACAACTTTACAAATGAGTTATAACAGAATTGATAATAGCAGATTTCAGTAGACAGCCTGTACACAGAAAATCAATAACCTTTTATTTTCACTGAAAAAAGTATGTAGCATTTTGATAAGGAGAGTATTCCCCTTTCCAGATAAATAATTAAAAAGACACTTGAAACAAGTCTTTAATAAAAAACAAATGTATTATAAATATGCCCATACCATATTACAAACCAAGCATAAAGTTTAACCCAAAAAAGGACACATTTTCTTGTTCATGAAAATATGTAGACAGACATATATTCTACATTTAGGTTCATTTATTTTCTCTACTATATAAATACTAGAGAGTAACATTTTTGTAGTAGCTCCCCCCTCCCTTTTTTTTTTTTTTTTTTAAGAGCAGAACAATCAGTATGTGAAATTGGACTAGTTTGGTGACATGAAATGTCATTAGATAACTCAAGCTCTGGTCAGTGATATGTTCGGATTTGCTCATTCATTCATTTCAGTTGATTAGTCAAACACAGAATGTAAAACCTGGATCTTATTGTTCAACTTAGCAGGAAGCTTAGGGCTGCCTGAAATATCCTCTGGCATTTCTGGTAACGATCTGTAAGGTTTTGCTTTGATTTCACCTTCAGGAATCATAGACTTAGAAAGCACAGGCTCAGAAAAGGCTTTTCTAAGGTTTTCACTTTCATCTCTGTTTTGCCTTATGAGTTCTTCTTCTTGGAGAATTTTCTTTATCTTCTCTAGTACCGTATTAACACAGACTGTCTATATAATAAAAAAAAATTGAAAAGTAAGTTTCTTTTTAAGATATTAAACTTAACCATAAAAGTTCAATGAAATGTTTTAAAAAGCCATGCAATCTTTAATCTACACATTAAAGTTTTAAAAAGCATTTCTTTCAGGAACCCGTGGAACATGATAAATATCGGGAGTTTGAGTCCTTTTTCTAAATATTACAATGCATAAAGAAATTTAGAACCTAGTATGTTTCAATAAAGATTTGCTTTAAATATTTTTCTCCAGTGCATTAGATAGATGTTTTACATTGCCACTCACTGATTTAATTGAACAAAGCATTTTCTTTATTCCCTGATTTAATTAAATAAAAGCATTTTCTGAAAGATGGAATTGTCCCCAAACATGTCAGTATTGCAAAATAGATTTTTTTTTTTTACTCCACCCCCTTAAACTTTGCTCATACCTATGTGTGCAATTGGAAGGGCATAAACTTTTTGGTAAGAATTAGTACGCTGGCAGAGAGCAATCATTTATAAGGAAACACTTTCCCTCAAAAAAATGTCAGCACTTGAAGAAGGAGTGTCAAGAAAAAAAAAAAAAAAACAACAGAAAAATAACTTCAAAATGTGGGAATCGTAAGAACTGTATCCTTTAAACTTATTCTGTAAGTTTACTGATGAAGATGATGATGACAACCAAGTACTTAAGGCAAGCAGCAAAAGTAATAAAATCCATGAAATTATAAGAACACTTAAATCTGTTTATTTTACCAAAGAGATGCCTCAAGGTGATCTAATAGACTATAAACACTTAGAACATTTTCTTATTTCTTACAGGGGGTAATAGAGGAAGGATTGAGGGCCTTGGCCTGAACAACCTCAATTTCCTTCTAACCTCTTCCTCCTTTCTTGCATGGCTGCTGCTATAGAATGGGAGAGTGAAGAATGTCTGATGGTTCCCTTCACTTCCTTGCAGTTAGTATGTGGCCATTGCACCCTGTTCTGTCAATGAAATAAAATATCTACTGACAAGGATGTCAGGAAGGATTTTTAAAAAAGCTTTCCTCCTATATAAAAAGAAAGACTGGTCTTTTGCTTCTACTTATCTCCCTTCTGCCTGCTTTGGATTGTGGTATGAATGTGATACCTGAGAATTAGTCAACAAATCCAAGGACTGAAAACAAACAGGACAGTAGGAAAGAGAAATACCTTGGGATCATGATGACATTGTAGATCCACTATACAAACTGGAAGCTGCCTAACTCCAGACTTCTCATTAAATAAGATATTTAAACATCCTTACCTTTTAAAGCACTGTCAGATATTTTTATTACTTGCATCTTGAGTATGTCCAAATTCAGAGCTAGAAACCTTAGGTCTATCACATCTAGCTGCAAACAGCTTCATCCATTTACCTCAAATACAATCGTTTCCTACACTTCAATGCAGTGAAAAAAAAAAAGTTCACAAGTCCTCTCCTCTTTGAGGCATATCTTCTTCCTGCATCTATATTTTATCTATGTCTATTCTCACCACTCGTGTTCCAGTCTCAGGATCTGGGACACAATAAAAGGACATAAAGGTCTCAATGAAGGGTCTTGATCAAAGTTAGTATCTCTCTACCTTTGCTTTTAACCTGTACCCTACCATCTTTTCTATCAATTATTCCTTGTCTCTTCAACCTCTTCCTCCTGACTGGCTCTTCCCCTGCAACCTATAATATACTCATGTGTCTTCCATCCTAAAGTTTAAAAATCCTTAACTGCTACAAATCTCATTCTGTGACCAAACCAGTATATATTCATGGTTTCCAAGAGTCTCTATTTAAAATATGAAAGGCACATAAAATAATATTATGGAAAAATTAATAAATGAGTCATATTAAATTTAAGAACTTCTGTTTTTTAAAATCACTTCAAAGAATTGAAAAGGCAAGTCAAAGAATAAAAAATCTGCCCATATATAGCCAAAAGAAAGTTTGTATCTAGAATATATTTGAAAAGTACAAATCAATACTAAAAAGACAATTCCCAACAGAAAAGTGAGGGAACTAACAGGTTCACAGAAGAGGACATCCAAATGTCCAATTATGCATGAAAAACTACTCAATCTCATTGATAACCAAGAATGTCGAAAATGGAAAAGATTATACTGTCGGTGATGATGTAGAGCAACTGGGATTCATTATCTGCTAGGATGAACTATCAAAACATTTTGGAAAACTGTTTGGCAATACCTACTAGAGATAAACACCTATATACTCTATAGTTCAGCAATTTAATTAAAATATTTACAAGAATATTCACAGCAACTTTATAATACTCAAAACTGTAAATAATCTAAATGTTCAATAGTAGAATGAATAAATAGTGATGTATTCAAAGGAATATACACAGCAATGAAAATCAACAGATTACTGCTTTATGCTATAAATGAATAAATTTCACAATGATGTTGAGCAAAACAAAATGTTGGACAAAAGACAAATACAAAAGTACACTTATTATTATTTCATTTATATACAATTCCAAGAAAACTGGTATTAAAAATCAAAATAGTTGTTGTCTTTTTAGAAATTAGTGACTTGAGGGAAGCAAGAAAAAGACTTCCAGAATTATGGCATTGTTTGGCTTCTTGACCCTTGTGGTATGCTGATTAATAGCTTTTGTGATAATTCATCAAGGTTTGTACTTCTCTCTGTATATGCTATATTTAACAACATTTAAAGGCAAGTATAAATGATAACAGATTAAAATAACCCCTTATAATTTATAAAATCCTTTAAAGTTTTGTCATGCTTTTAAATGAACACTTTTAAATTACAGCATTTAGAACTCATGAGACACTAATATTTATGTCCCCCCAAATCATACTTTAGCCAACCCTGGCACAATAGCTGGAACAAAATAACTACAGCCGAAAAAATCAAAAACAAAGTGTTTTGATTGAAAGTCTCCAAATTGTAGTGTACAAAAAAAATACATTTAGTTAGCTAAGCAAATTAATTTTTGGTAGATTGACTTGGCTCCTCAGAAAAGTAAATTCTTAATAAAAAATTTATTTTGTTTAACAAAAGAATAGCACCATGGCTTATGAATAAGTACTACATATCTTTAATATGATATAAAATAAGCATATTTATTTCTACATTCTAATAATGTTCTTACCAAATAAATTAGTGTAGCAAATGAAGCATATATTATGCTAGTTAAGGCAGTCTTGGCTGGAAAGGAAATGATTTCAAACAAAGAACACTTTCTGACCTGCAAAAGCAGAAAATGATTTTCTTATGAAAACGTTTTCCATGTCACAATATTAAATTTTACAATGTTATATAAAATGAGAAGTTTAATATTTCTAACAAAAATCATCTGCTTTATATTTATCTGGAGGTTTTTTTACCTTCTGAAACTGTTACTTTTTATCCTTTTATAAAAAGATACTTTCTATTTTGCAAATCAAAAAACTGATAAAGCTATAAAAAATCATGTTGACATTTTTACATTTACCAAGTGTCCTCACTAGGGGGTGCCACTGTGCATATTAGAAAAACAGTCTTTTCTTTGTTTAAATTCATTTAATTATTCTTTACTAAATTATTCACCTCTTCAATTAAGCAAACAACAATCAAAACCCTGAACACTTCCTGCAGATTAATGACCTGCTTGAAAAGTTAATCATGAGACTGCTGAAGGGCAGCATTAACCTTAGATGATCATTAAGCTTCAGGAAATACTGTGCTCATAGCCAGCCTGCATTTCTGAAACACAGAGGTTTAGACCAATAAAAATTGGTCTCTCAAATGTCTCTAGCTTCTGGTAATAGAAAGTGTCCCTCATTTTAATATATTAGTATAATATATTCAGTTTATAGGCTGCCTCTGTTGCCTTGAGCAGGGTATGAAATGAGGACATTAGGAAAAACATTCCTTTCCCCTTCAGCAGCAGAGTGGCAGTCAGCCATGTTCCTCTGGAGAAAAAGCCAAGCCCTCAATGACTTCAACAAACTCCCAGAAGGTACAGACTGTAACTAATAAAATCGTGTAAACGCGCACACACACTAGAAAGAACAGTATGCACAGGTTCATTAAAAGTTATTTATACAACACTGGACAACTGAAACTGATAGCCATATGGGTAGGTAAATTATGCTATATCCATTCACTGGTGTGTTGCAGCCTTTTAAAAGGTGCTTCTGAAGAATCCCTGAATCATTTGATTGAACAAACACATAGCACTGTGTACCTGGTCCTGTTTTAAGTGACTGTTGCAGAGTGCTCAGTTTTTGCTTAGTGCTGCACTACCAAATGAAGAATAAAACTACCCACCGCAATTCCCCTTCTCTCTTAAGTAAGGTAAGGAATTCTGAAACGAAGAAAACTAATCAGCCTAGTAGCTAACGGGAAGCGGAGTTTCTTATTCCCTTCCTTCCAGACCTTAGCAACTCCTACATGTAGAGAAAGGTGGAGCAGTTTTAGTCAGCTCTCTTCCTAAGTCATTTTGGAACCTCTCTAGAGATCCTGGCTTCTGGAAAGAGTTTCCAGGAAATGAAGCAGCTGCTGCTCTTTCCATGTTGCTAGAAGAATCAGAATGATAGCATGCCTTTGAATTCCACTATTGGCTACAAGGAGACAATAATACCAGTAAGAGAAGATACACACCAACAAAATGCCTCGTAGAAGAATAAAAGATTCATGCCTTTGTGAATTGTGAATGCATAGTGGGAGGTCCATATTCAATAATTGGTAGGCCATATACAATAAAAAAATGGTGTCTGCATGCACAAGAAATTACTCTTTCTGCTTCACTGCATTCTTCTCAGGTTTGATCCTTCATCTAAAAGTAATTAGAACTGATTATTCAAAATAAATTTTGTATTTGATTTATGTTAGAGTTCTGATTAAGAAGTTTGTATATTGTCTGAGGGTCACTTTTTCACCATTTTCATGCTTTTTGATAAATATATGCGATTCCTGTAACAAATCATCCCTGTAGAAAATACATTTCTTCCAAAATTTATGTGGCTACTGGCAAGTAGCCATTTCTCAGTCTTATGACTCACTTGCAATACATGTTTTTCATATTATAAAACACCCTGTTTCATTTTGGACTTGCTATAAGCAGGAGGAGAGTATGGTAAAAACTGAGATAAATAAGCAGAAATTTGGCAAATGGGAGGCATGTGTCTTGGCCTAGTTTAAAAAGTTTAAGCTTGTCGTATTAATTTCATTTTATTTGCATTCTTTAAAATGTCTTGTTATCAGTATTATGTACACTTATTTCTTTTGTGAATTTGATAATATTAACATGTAAAATATACAGCTATTTGAACAGTAAAATCATTTCAGTCAGAGCTAGACTTCTCCCACATAATTTGTGTTCTGCTTCGCCCAGTAATTTTGTGTCATCTCCTAAAAGAAGTATCTGAGTTCATCTTTTTTCACGAATAATAAACTAAATCACAAAAAGCAAACTGTAATAGGTTGGAGAATTACAATACATGGCCCAACTTAATTTGTTTTCCAAAACCACAATAAAGTGGGACACCAAGGGAGTAAAAGGGAAAACTGTAACTGACTGATGAACAACAAACTGTTGCAAGAAACACTCACTGCTGTTAATCCAGAAAAGTGTTTCCTATAAGTTTGGGAAAGTTACAGGACCACTGTTGCTTAGCAACCCACAATACTCATAAGCACAGGAGAGGCTCCCAGCAGTGTATAGCAAAGACATCTATTTGACTTTGTTTATCACAGTGTTAATATCTGGTGGAGCATTGTTCTCGAATAAGCTCTCAACCAGGTGGACCAGTACAGTTTCAAATGTCTCAACCTCCTGGCCAAGCTGAAGAGATATGTCTTCAAGAGCCCACTGATTCTACTTTCTAGGAATTGACTATCTTCCCCAGGTTTTGAGTTATGCCAGCCAAGATAGCTTTGTATAGGCCCATGAAGGACCTCTAGAAGTTCCTGATATTTGCCAGATTTATAGTTTAGACCCCAAACTGAAGTCTCCCTTAGAGGTTTAGGGACAACGAAGAAACTACTTAGATAAGCCTCTGACATTTATCCTGACATAGGAAGTACCAGTTTGCTCGGATCTGCCTAGAGCACTGGCATTTTAGAAGCTGAGGCTTTTCTTCACTTTTGCCCACTCCACAGTGCCTATACAAAGTAAAAACAGTCAGCGCTAATGCTATTATAAGGAAGATTCTATCCTAGGAAGAGCTGAACCTGTGGCTCTGCGTTGGCCCTCCAATGTCAACGACTGTGAGAACTGACGCATCTTGGCTGAAGTCAGCATTCAAGCTGATTATCTAGGTCACTGCAGCCTCTAGCAACTGCAAGCTTCACCACACCAGACAGCTTACAAGATTAAGTAGATGTCCCATGCTGTAGGTTATGGTGTTGGCGCTGGTGTTATTGAATCCACCAGGAAATTCTCTACTCAAGAGTTTGCCATTCCTGAGGTCCCATATAAAACTATCAACTACCATTTCAGCCAAGCAGAACCTGGAAGGGATTGAGAAGCAACATGACTTTGCATCCTAAAATCAGATACAAAGGAAGTCTCTTAAGATGGTCAGCACAAAACACTTTACTCAGCCTCCCTGGTGGCACAAGGGGTTAAGCACCACACTATGAAGCAATCCACAGCCTCTGCAGCACGAGTTCAATCCCCAGCCAGCCAGGGAGCTACCCACATGGTGCAGCAGACCTCTCCTGTCTCACCCGCTGCTCCCCTCAGCAGTGTTATTTCAGTCAGTCTGCCTGTTCTGTTCCCCACTCTGTCTCTGGTGAATCCTCTCACTCCCCACATCTCTGGCCTGCACCCCAGCTCTTAATGCATAAATAAATAAATCTTTAAAAAAATGGCTCTAACTCTCTGTGCTCATATCAAAAGCCACTGGAATCTCTTTAGATCATTTGTGTTGGTTGGGTATTTGGGTGGTTTGTATTTGGCACAACATCTTTGAATAAAGCTGAGATAAACAGGACATGCTCTGGAACTGAGCATCCAACTAAAAAGGCCTGAGTAGGTTGTCAAGGCAGCGCCTATGATAGTGTTCAATCTCTAGTTACCCTGAAACCATTATTGTATGTTTCACCTCAGACCACATCAAAGGGCTGAAACACTATCTGAGTTATCGTCAGTGTCCTAATGAAAATGCTCCGCTATTTCAGCTTTTTTAGGGAGGCAATCCACCTGGTGTTCTCAGCTACACAATATTTGACAGAGTTTTGCAGGAACCATTTAAAGTGCTCTAGGTATTGATAGAATACACCTTTCCATTATCAGCATCCTTAGATCATTGCTGAATCAGAGTACATGAAGAGGATCTTTGACACATGCCTTCAGCTAGATTAGTCTAGCTACTTTCCCTCCCATAACCAGTTTTATAAAGTGATATCCTCCATGCACCCACAAAATATATCTCTTCACATAATAATTCCAACTTTCATCCCTTTTATATCAGCATTATCACAAAGTTCCACGGACAGGCAGCCTGATAATTCTTGAAGAAATCCATGCTGAGATCCATTTTGAATAAACTGATCTCTGTCACCATGGGAAGGCATGGCAGTGTTGTGCCAAGCCGGTGTGGCTCCTTCAAGCTATGACGGCATGGCTGACTTCATGCTCAGGTACCATGGATACACCACATCACCGACCAATCCACTGACTACCCCCCCACATCCCACACACACCTCAGACATTATTGTTCCTGTGACTTCCCAGGCCATTGTCTTCACTAGTCAGCTTCTATTGATATTTTTTCAATAGTCCTTAGTGAGGACTAAGCCTTTCAGATTTGAGATGCTTTTTCCATCCTTGCTACAAGTTAGTTTTCTCTCAGTGGCATCTGATTCTCGACCCAGCCAATACATATTACTAATCATACTTAACCCTCAGGGACCCTGGAACTTCTGACCTGAGACAGGCCCCACTCCAGCCATATGACAATACTTAACTTCCCTAAATAAGTCATATTTTCTCTCTCCTTAGTATTTAAGACACCATTTTCTTCTTGGAATGATGCTACTTCTTCATCAAGCTAATTTCTCTTCCTTTAATTCTGATATCCAACAGTGTATCTTCTACAAGTTACAATATGAGTCCATGCTGACTACTCTTTGGAATTATATGCTCCTTCTTGATGCCACCATTGTACACTTTGAACTCTTCGTTCTTGAATATCCTACACTCTACTGACATTGCTTACTTATAAGACATCTAGAATCCCTTCTACTTACACTAGTGGTTTTACATGTCAGGTTTTCAATAAATATTTATTGAGTGAATTAAAAAAACCCTACACTTCCCAAATTAATTTAGCTATATTAAAATACATAAAAGAAGATATTAAAGACATCTAGTTCCATTAAGATGGCAAACCTAACTCATGTGGAACCCCTCACAAATACAAAAAATTGAAATGTTATATAAAATCAAACTTCAAAAATTTAATATAAGACTGAGTTTCAAAGAGAAAAAGAGACAGAGAGAGGATCATGCTAAGCAAAATAGGTGAGAGACAAATACAAGGTGATTTACTCATGGAATATAAAGAAACAAAGAAAAAGAACAGACAACTCACCAAAACAATCCCTAGAAAGATGACTGCACAATTGAGGCTATGAAAGGGGAAGGGAAGCCTAATGGACTGTGAGGGAGGATTATGGGGGATTTGGTGGTGGGTGTGATGTGGTAGCATACACATGAAAAGGTGTGAATGTATACCCCCAAATCATATACAGTGTTGTAACCCAACATTGCCTAAAAATAATCCAATTTTAAAAGTAAACTAAAAGGCGGGGGAGTGGGGGACGGGGAGGGAAGGAAGAAAGACAAATCCCCTCTGCCCTTAACAATGAAGGAACTAAAACAGCAGAAACTGCGTATGAGCTTATGTCCCACAAACTCTAGGGATGTTATGGGACCAATAAAATAATAAAAAGGCTGGATGCACATAAGGTAAGGATTAGGCTTTGCAAAACTACCAATTTAGTGAAAATGGGGCTGGAAAAGCTGCACTGGCCAGACCAGGAAGAAGATGAGGAGGCTGATTTCCACCTAGGGCTGGAACTGAATCAAGAGAGATCAAACCTCTCAACTTGCACCACGGAAAGAGACCTGAATTTACCCTGTTAGTGTGATGCAGGAAAACCCAAGTTGAAAATGTTACTTTAAGGCCTGGTCCCAACTTGCTGATATTCCAGGAGCATAAAATTCCCCTCTAGAGGGACAGTTCCACCTCTAAGGCCAGAATGCATTTTTATTTTTTAAGAAATCCCTGTTGAAGAAATTGGTCCTGTTAGGGATAAAAGGAAACACAAATTCAGCTGCAAAGATAATTTTTCTGCCACTGAACGTTTATGAGTGTTGGAGATATTCTTTCATTCTTGTCAGAAGTGGGCCTTCTAATGAGGACAGAGTTGAATGTCCACAGCAAACAGCTGTGGAAACTAGAGAAGGTATTTTCCTTGGGAGAGATCTAAAGATGTACCGCCCAAGATGTTGTCACAGGGCACTAACAATAAAACCTTCATCATCCTCTCCAGAGACAATTACTTATATTCAGGATAATAATATTCTCTCTCTCGTTCTTTCATCTTTCTCTCATCACATCATCTTGCCCTATGGGAGTTCAGGCATAGGGAACTGACACATGATGTTGCTCTGCTGCTTCCTTTGCCCTGAGTAATAAACAAATCTGTGCCTCAGACTTAAGGATTGTGTTAATATAACTTTAACAGATTAATTTATTGACTTGTAACAAGTGCAAAATCTTAGATTCTTTACTGTTTTGACTTAGCCAAGGAGCAAAACAGGATGACTTTGAATAATATAATGGGCAGTGTCTTTAAATATGATATCACAATAAATACAGAAATCATTTTCAAAGGGCATTTTTTTTATCAACTATCTATAAACTATGGTTTTAACAATCCAAAGAAAGAAAAGCTAGGCAAAAATCTAGACCCAGAAAGATATTGCAGTGAGAATTTAAGACAATATAATTTAGCTGTGTTTCTTTTTGATCATTTAAAAAACAGGAATAAAGTTTATAGCGCTTAGAGAATCAAGTGTTTAACAAATGAAATACTTTTTACTTCACAGACATCAGGTGTTATTAGGGAGCCTTTTTATAATACTGTTTTCAGACAGTTGAAATATTTGATGATTTCTGAAAATGTCAAAATCTTTGATTAAAGAGATTCCTGGGTGAAAGGTATTTTGTTCCTTTTAGCTCTCCATCATTCATTTTCTCACCTTCTCAAAACCACTGAGACTTTTATTTGAGAATCATCTTTTTCTCAGTCTCAAGTCATGTGGTCTGCATGGGGTTCCCACCTCAACTTCAGGGATGAAGCAGATAATAGAGTCCTGGGTCAATTAGGACATGCAATTTTCCTCATTTAGAACTAAGCCATTCCTAAGACTAAACTTCAGGACTTAGCCAGGAATGCTGGGGGAAGGACTCTCATTCTTCTATAATTGACCCTGAAAGGATGAGCCTCAGGAACAGCTGCAAGTCATCTTGTGACCATGAGCAGAAGCAGGTCTAAGAATGGAGCCAGCTCAGGGAAAGCAGAGCCAGGAGATGGAAAGGAAGAGAAACAAGATACTGAAGGTATCGTTTGAGGACCTATATCCAGCAAGGTCTGAAACCGCACCAACGCTGAATTGTTGGAGTACATGAATAAATACATCTCATTTTTGGCTTAATGGAGTTTTGAGCAAGGTTTTCTTTCCCATCAGCAAAACAGTTGAAATATTTGAAAAGGCCAGATTGAAAACCCCAGTTCTATCCCATAAAGTTTAGGGAAAAAATGGTACTAAAAAAGTTTTAAGAGTTACTGTTCTTAAAATGGAACAGAGTATCAGAAAAACAACATAGAACATATAATTTGAAATATACCTAGATGTTGATGGATCTATGGAAATAGAATATACGAAATATATGATACAGTTAAATATATGTATCATATAGTTCAATATAATAAGGTAGGAAAAAAATCCACATCACTTCTCCTTTCAGATTTAGTTAAGCTAAAAAATATAGTATACTGAAATAAGACCATTCATTGTTCTTACTCAATTATTTTTATCTCATATAGCAGACAACCAAATGTGATACATTTTTATTTTTCAAATCATCTTGAAATTTCAAAACAGTTCCATAAAAATGGTTAATAAATTGTGTAAATATAATATTCACTTACCCGCATGTTATATAGGGGTTGTTTGAGTGTATTAACTTCCCTCAGTAGACGATGAGAAATCTTCCTTAATTCGAAAAGCCTACAAGCAAGCTGAGGTTCCAGAAGTTTGGCCACTGATTTGGAGGAACTTGATATGGTATTTAATCCTTGAATTAATGTTCCTTGGTTGATCTTGGCTAAAGCAAAAGCCATTCTGACTTTAGATGTTTTTCGCAAGGGTTCTCTTTTCTGGAAAATAAACCTCTGAAAAGTGACTGATGTATGATTCTCTAATGCATTACAGTAGACCCTCACTTTCTAATTTTTTCTACAGTCATGATTTCATAGAGACAATAGCATAATGTGAACCCGGTAATATCTTGATATTACATAATTTGTTCTATGATGGCATCATCTGAAATTTTCAGCACATAATTAAGCTTACAATAAAACTGAATTTCATTCTATTTATGTTAAAAAGATGAAATTAGGGCCTCCCCGGTGGCGCAGCGGTTGAGCGCTGGGTTGCAAAGCTGCCCGAAGCCTCTGCGGCGCCGGTTCCATCCCGGCTGCTCCCCGGCCACCGGAGGAGGGTCCCACATGGCGTGCAGACCTTTCCTGCCGCCCGCTGCTCCCCTCAGCAGTGTACTTCGGTCCTTCTGCCTGTTCTGCTCCCCACTCTGGCTCTGGTGAATTCTCTCACCCTCCCGCGCTTCTGACTGTACCCAGTGCATGTACAAACAAACAAACGAATAAATAAATAAATAAATAAATAAATACATGCCTCTTTAAAAAAAAAGATGAAATTAAAAACAAGTTGGAAAATGTTATTTCAAAATCACTTAGAGTTTGCTAATGGAGGGGATGGGAAAAACCAAATTCTCATACCAATTCACTAACTTTTATACCATTATCATGCTTTTTTATAATTTCTTGTTTCAACTTAATTGACATTTTCTTTTTAATATGCTTTTTAGTATCCATGCATGGCTACAGTTTAGCACAATGTTTTTATGCAATTCAAAAACCATTTGTTTGAAAGGATACATAAAAACAAAAATTCTATACTTAAAAAAAAAACATGGACCTATGTGACAAAAGCTCTCAGTCAGACAAATATACTCTGAATAGCTCAGATACTAAGTTATACAAATGTCTCATCCACAAATGCCCACCCACATTGTCTGGTTGCCAGCTATTGTAATATGAACATTAAATTGCAAAGGGGGTTATATTTTAATAGGAAGAAACCATTATAAAATGATTTGATCGTATGGTGCCAATAGTAAAGTGGGAATCTACTGTACTAAAATCTACTTTGGGCAGAGATAATTACCACACACTGCATTGTGTGATCCTGCACACAACATTCAGTGTCCAATAATTATATCCCACACCCATGTACATAAATCTTTATATGAATATATGCTCTTGTCCTTAGACTAAATATCCAGAATCTAACTTACAAGTTCTAAAGATAATTTTTTTTAAGCTCTGGGGTTATTTATTTTATAAATTCTTTCAAATGTAAACAGATCTTATTCAAATATTACTCAATGTTTGAATTATTCAGACATAATTCTTATTGAAAACTGTTACACATATTTTCCCAGTTTACATTTGTAGGGTCAAGACTGGACACAGTGCAGGTTTTCTGATCCAGCAGACCGGGTGAAGGAGTCAGAGTCCTCAGTGGTTTTTTGCAGGTCTTTTATTGGGGTTCACCAGGCATATGGCAGGCAGGCCTTCTCTGCTTCTGCTTCTTTGCTTCTCTTTCGGCTGCTATTCGTTCTTTGCTTCTCCTGGTGCTCCCATGACGCCGCCCTTAAAAGCAGTCTTAGCGCAGGTATACCCACTTCAGGTGCCCACCATCAGGCATGCATTCAGGATCACAGGGTTCCCTCATCTATACTAATGACAGGAGGGCAGAAAAGCCTGACATTTTTTCCTTACCCTACAGTCCACCCCCTCAGGGTTTTCTGCCATACAATCTACATATATACAATTTTCTTAGCAAACATAAACAATGCAGCCATGGCCCACAAAAGCAAATACATCACAATATAACAAAATACAACAGAACACAAATAAGTCCAGGCAGGGCCCCAACCTAGTGCAAAAGACAATTATTGGTACCAGCAGATGAGCCACCAAATCTGCTGTCAAAGGTACTGCTCATACGAGGGAGGGGAACACTTGCAGCATCTACTGTAACACGCCAGGAGCCGTCAGGCTTCCTGATCTTCTCTGTCTGTAGTCTTGGCTACAAGCCACACACCGCATCCCCCCCCCCCCCAGGATGCACTAGCTCTGGGATTGGAGATTCTATACTGTTGGGGGTAATCACCAACCCTCAGGGTTTCTGTCTGCAGTCGCTCCAACATTCAGCTTTCATAGCCACCAATGCGACTCACAGACCCCTGCACTCAGGCCAACCCACTGCACAAGAACACGGGTCGGGGATCCAAACTCTACATTTGGCTTGGGCTCCACCCCAAGCCACGTTCCCCACCCGTCCCCCAAGGACGGGTTCCTCAGCTCCTCACCCTCACTCAACAACAAGCAGGGCATCACCCATAGGTGATTTTACGAGACTCACTGGCCTTCAGCATACTCAGGCTGCTTATCAGCCGCTCAGGGCTTCTCAACTTAGCATCAGCACCAGCTTTTGCCTTCTCAGTTGGCTTTTCTCCTCCACCTGGCTGCTGGGCATACACAGGCTGCTTTTGGCCATCAAGGCCCACTGGCCACCCCCAGATTCCCAAAAAAACATAACCTGCCAAGGTCCTCCGCCTTCTGGCGGGATTGTCAGTCCAAATTCATTAGTCCAAGTCCGTTGGCCTCTCCCTGCATCAGCACTGGCGAGCTCCGAATCGTGGTCCTCTCTTCCGACGATTCTTGCTGCCTCAGGCGTCGTTGGCTGGTCCTCTCGGGCGTCTCCTCCTCCAGGTGAGGTCTCGTCCCGCAGCTCCAGGATGGTGTTCACCTCTGTGCCGCCATGGCTCCTCCAGAGTAGTCACAGGCAAACAGTCTGTTACTCCTCAGTCTCTCCAGGTCTTCGGAGGGCTCCATACCCGTCTGCATGGCTCATCCTGCCAACTTACGCCAATTGTAGGGCAGGAATGACACTGAGCAGGTTTTCTAGGATCCCATGCAGACCAGGTAAAGGAGTCAGAGTCCTCAGTGGTTTTTTGCAGGTCTTTTATTGGGGTTCACCAGGCATATGGCAGGCAGAGGTGCTGGGGAGCCGGGAGGCTGGCAGGCCTCCCAGCCCCCAGCATGTCTTCACTCTATCTGGGCTCTCTGGCGTTCTCTGCTTCTGCTTCTTTGCTTCTCTCTCAGCTTCTCTTTTGGCTTCTCTTTCGGCTGCTGTTCGTTCTTGGCTTCTCCTGGTGTCCCCGTGACACCGCCCTTAAAAGCACAGTCTTAGCGCAGGTGTACCCACTTCAGGTGCCCGCCATCAGGCATGCATTCAGGATCACAGGGTTCCCTCATCTATCCTGATGGCGGGAGGGCAGAAAAGCCTGACATTTTTCCTTACCCTACAACATTATAAATTTTTTTTAATTTATACAAGAACCGGGGTACAGGCCAGATACATGGGAGGGTGAGAGGATTCATCAGAGACAGAGTGGAGAACAGAACAGGCAGACTGACGAAATATACTGCTGAGGGGAGCAGCAGGAAAGGCAGGAGAGGTCTGCCACACCATGTGGGATTCTCGCCGGCTGGCCAGGATCGAACCCGTGCTGCAGAGGCTGCGGACAGCTTCACAGTGTGGTGCTCAACCGCCTGTGCCAACAGGGATGCCCTATATTATAAAATTTTAATGAGCTATAACATATATACATAATACATACATGTGCATCATATATAATTAAAATCAAATACCCTATATACTAACCAACAAACTTAACTGTTACTTCAAAAACACCTATGAACATTCTGATAGAAAAAACTTGTAGTATTACCAAAACAGATGTGTAAGGGCAGGACTGGACACAGTGCAGGTTTTCTAGGATCCAGCAGACCGGGTAAAGGAGGAGTCAGAGTCCTCAGTGGTTTTTTGCAGGTGTTTTATTGGGATTACCAGGTACACAGCAGGCAGGGGTACTGGGGGGCCGGGAGGCTGGCAGGCCTCCCAGCCCCCAGCAAGTCTTCACTCTATCTGGGCTCTCCGGCGTTCTCTGCTTCTCTTTCGGCTTCTGCTACTTCTTTTTCGGCTTCTCTTTCGGCTTCTCCTGGCGTCCCGGTGACGCCGCCCTTAAAAGCACAGTCTCAGCCCAGGTGAATCCCATCTACCTATGCCCACACCCTACTCCAGGTGCCCGCCATCAGGCATGCATTCAGGACCTCAAGGATCCATCATCTATGCTGATGGCGGGAGGGCAGAAAAGCCTGACATTCTTCCTTACCCTACAACATGATATGGAGTTCTTTCTCTGTCCATAGAAAGTGAACCACAGGGAAATTACTTACAATGTGGTTAGACTGCATTCCTGGCAAGAGACAAGTATAGTTCCCATTATTCATTTAAGTAATTTTATGGGCTATTGCTGGCTTTTTAGTATATACCTTGGGGGAAAGTACTTGTTAATACCAATATACAACTTTGAATCTCTCTTGATTGATTGATTCCAAAAAATGTAAGCACAAAACATCTCTTAAATGTTAAATGGATTTTTTGTCTACAATAAACATCATATATTTGTCTGAGAACGAATGTGCTGGAGATTCAAAATGTCTCAACATTTATCCTGAAGTAATTTTATGATTGCTATTTTTCTTTTTTGTCATCAAAGTTAAGTACTTCTCTTACTGTTCAACATTGTCATTGGAAATAAGCAAAAGCTGTTAAAGGCTGTCAATGAGGATATATTTCTGCAGCATCTGGTGTCCTGTTGTGGTTGAATCTGTTAACATTACTGGAAAAGTCCCATTAGCCCACCTGTGGTTTCAATTCTCCTCACCAATGCCCTAAGTCAAGAATGCAATCTAAGTACTGGGCTGCTACAATTGCTACAATTTCCAAGCCACTTTAGAGCACAGCAGCTCTTACGAGCAATACTATGGAAGGCAGAAGCAGCAGAAGATCACACAGGTACAATCACTGACATCATTATGGACTCTGGTTGCAAGCACAGGGGAAGAGAAACTGCCTTGTCTGCAGTCTCCAGAGCTCCTCCTGCACAGATTCAGTTTCGTTAGTGACCTTATGTTTGTTGCACTAAGGTCTCCTTCTCCCAAAC